TTAGCCCCCACTTCATTTTTCCAGTCTACCAACTCATGTAGTTCTCTTGTATTCTTTCTATTCTATCAACTGAGTACAAGAAACCATCCATTTACCTATTGGGTAATTGTAATAGGTAAATTGTAATAGGTAATTGTAATAGGTAAAGTGGTCAGAAATTGGTAATTTGGCCAATTTTATACAAATTTCAGGAGATGCCAATTTCAAAATAGGGTCCAGAATAAACAATGCAATATTCCTTGCACTAAAATAACATTTTCTCTGTTCACTAGTCATGTCTCCAGGCTCCTCATATTATGCTTGGTTTCCATTTTGAATTTTTATTCACATAAAAAATAGAAGATTGACTGTTATGCAGACTACTGCATTATTATAATAATTGTATAAATAATGTCAACCCATTCATGACTGCGTATCAGACTGGCCAGTTGGACATGTATTTGATGGTAATGTCATTTACTCTTGAACATCAGCAAAAATCAAATATTTCCATTATTTTGAGCTCAATTTCAAGGTACTTTCCATCATGAAACCAATCAAAATCAAATCTGTTTCCGTAATGTATCTTCCATTCTATCAAACGAGACCAAAACACGAGAATACAACCAAAAAAATATGAAAATACACCGCAAATTTGCTGTTTTACACCAAAAACATGGTTGGAGTTTTTTTCTGATGCACTGCGTGCAGCAGGATTTTTTTATATATAGTGCACACTTGCCACACAGACCTATTCTCTCATATGTAGGCCCATTTACCAGTCACAGCATATCTGAGTGAGCTGAGCTCATGGTGACTGACAGTGGCTTCAAAGTCACCTCACCTTTTATGGAACCATGGCTAGGGCTAAAAGTGAGCAGGTTATAACAATAAATGGAGAAGGAGAAATTGGAATGACTTATGCAGCAGTAGCACACCAAACAGTAGCAGCAGGTTGGTGTGGCGACCCTGGAAATTTGAAATTATGCTAGCTGAAGTTAGTGCCGGATTACTGATAGAACCGGATAACGGATTGCTGGATTAGTGATGCCCGACCTGTATAAGAATTGTTATTCTAATATATATAGAAGCATACACTACATACTGTCCATACAGAGATGAATCAAGGAAGGGGCAGCAGCCTTTACTTTCTTGGATCAAAAGCCCTTCAGTGGTATCAAGGCACCCTTTTGATGAGTACAGTATTGAAAAAAATCATTGTATTTGCTGAAAAAATAGTAAAAATGCAGTAATAAATCATACAAGTTAGCAGGTTTAGTGTGTGAGTTTATGAGGGTCCACTGGTGACCCTCACTGTCCAATGCTAAATTTAATGATCAAGGATATGTAAGTAAGAAGGCCTTCCCATATATACCCTAATTCATATTTTTGAGAGAGAATTTTCACATAATGAGTGATGTGCTAACACAAGAATCTAAATGCAGCTCAGTATGTACACTAGTATAATTTTGTCAGCATTTGTAGTGGTAAAAAGTATCCACACATCCTGTCTTACACTTACTCTTCCTCATGATGCCATAATACCTACCCACCCACCCTCATAATCTCTCTCACCCACCCACCCTCTTACACCCACTCACCCTCATACTCTCACAATGACCCACCCTATCACACCCACCTTCCCTCATACTCTCACACTGACCCACCCTCATACTCTCACACCCAACCCACCCTTATACTCTCACACTCACCCACATACTCACACCCATCCACCCTCATACTCTCTCACACTCACCCACCCTCATACTCTCTCACACTCACCTACCCTCATACTCTCTCATACCCACCCTCATACTCCTTCACACTCACCCACCTCATACTCTCTCACACTGGCCCACCCTCTCACACCAACGCACCTTCTCACATTCCTCACCATCATGCCCACTTTCTCATACACCATTGCTTCCACCCCTCTGTATCTGCTTATGCCTCCTTCCTGCTCTCTCTCTTGATCTTTTCTCACTTCTCTTTCTCTCTCTTTCCCTTGCTCTTCTATATTCTGTCTTTTCTCTTATCTCTCTTCTCTGTTTCTCTCTCTTCTCTCTCTCTCTCCTATATTCTCTCTCGCTTCTATAATCCTCTCTCCTCTATTCTCTCTCTTCTATTCTCTCATATATACATCAGTTAAATAACATTTAATGTTTTTTTCTACGTGAAAGCAAAGATTAATGATTGAAAAGCACTGGGTAAAATTCTTTGTTAACAATTAACTGATATTAGATAAAGAATACTGTCTCAGAAATGCATCAGTTTGGTTTACAATGTTTTGGGAAAATTTCCCAAATAATAAAATTTTCAGAAATGAATTAACAATTTATCAATCCAAAAGTTAAAATAACCAAATTTATTTTTTTTTTTGGATAAACATAATGTCTTTACCAAATAAATAAAATACACACACACACACACCACACACACACACACAAAGATGAGATGCAAGTGAGAGAGAGAGAGTGGGAGAAAATGAAAGCAAGAGAAAATGAGAGCAGGAGGGAGCAAGAGAAAAAAGGAAGTGTGTTTGTGTGAGGGGAGAGAGTGTTAGAACTTTAATTTTAATAAGTGTAAGGGGGATTGGGTGTTTTTAAAAATTTCAATTATGAGAATATTTTTTTACAATTGTAAACTAAGATAATTCTTTAATTAATGGATTTAGTTAATTCCAAAATTTATAATTACCCAGCAGACCACAACAATAATGAAGAATTTGATTTAACAGACTTTTTCTCTTAAATTCAAAGTCCTTTCTTACAAATGTTGTCCAGCAACAGATTTTGTTCGTTAAATTTATATTCCATTATATCTCTCCCGTATATGCATGTGTGTGTGGTATATATATATATATATATAAAATATTATATATATATATATATATATATATATATTATATATTATTTATTTATTTACTTATTGTTTATTTATACTGTATAATTTATATGTACCCACACACATTGTACATGAGCACACACAAGCACACACCACATGCAGGCATACAGACACACCACATGCACATACAAATATGCACACACACACACATATATGCACGCATGCACACACACACGGACCACACGCACAAATGTGTACATAACACTGTGCGCGCACGCATACATGCATGCATGCATGCATGCATGCACATACACACACACAACACCCCACACAACACACACACACACACACACATATACACACATATACACACATATACACACACACATATACACACACACAGTGAGAGATCTTCAGCAGATTAGGAAAGTGAAAAGTCATGGTTTATAAAATGAACAAGTTGATCAGTGAGAATTATGCTTAAACAATGAGCAAGATATATGACACCAGGTAGAGTAGCTTACACACACACAAAATTGTGCAAGTTTGAACTTCTGAGTTCAACAAACTGGTGTCATATTTATTCAAAGGCCACATGACTCATCAAATTGTAATACCACAACTGTGAACAAACCACGGACGGATGAGGTTAGAACCCACGGCAAGTGAGCTGTAAAGCTCCGGGCCGATGGTGGCTTATGCACTGGCCTGGAGTTTTACAATTCACTTGCCATGGGTCTTAACCCCATCCAAAACCGGGTTTTTTCCCACCTTGCATGCACACACCAAATTATGTCCACAGGTTTTAGCAGCCACTCTAAACAAGTTAAGAGAAGAAAGGTGTTGAGTCTTTTCCCTAAGAGCTCAGGGATTAACACCTCAAACTATTTAGACAGAATTTTCCTCTATATAACAATAATTCATTAGTTGAGATGCTCTGAGTACTGTACTTCATCCAAGAAGGTCTGCATAAAGTCAACAGGAACTATAATAGAGCCCCTCAATCAGACTCCCAGAGAAAACTCAGTACAAATTATTCATTCCTTCCACAGTGGCATACAAAAGAAAAGTAAACACTTATAGGAAAAATGGTAAGAATTACCAACAAAATTGTTAGTTTTAAAAGGACACAGATGCAACTAATGTGACATTTTATTGTGGCAATGTTTCACTCCCAGGAACTTTTTCAAATTTGACACAAGTACATTAGTTGCATCTGTATCCTTTTACCCAACACTTTTAAATGATATATCAGTAGGTTTTCTCTTAACCTAATATAAATGGCCAATTGCCTATCAAAAACCATAAGAAATCAACATTGATGAGAAACTGGGTGTATTTCAATCTCCTGCTAAGACTGTGACTTTGTCTATATAGAAAAATGGGAACATAAAAGGTCTGCAAAATAGTTATGAGAATGTACTCTGTTCCATTGCTTTAAAAATTACAAATTTAGGATAAATTGGGTCAAAGCCAAAATATTTTTACTAAAAGAAGACATCAGAAGGGGTAAAAAAATCAAAGATGCCTTAATTAAAATAAACCCAATTTCAATACCTAG